AATTTATGAGAAACTTTTAATTAAATTTTCAAGTATTTTGATAGGGCCAAAAAAATTTAATCGACACTTCAAAAAAAAATTTTCAGAAAAATTGAAAATTTCAGTTGTCTATAAATACTTTAAAAAAAGGCACAATATTTTGAAAATTAAACTGTGTATAGATAACATTAAAATAATTATTTGATGAATATTTCAAGTGTTTATAATGATTAATTTTTGAATTACAACCATATTAATAAATCGATTTGGTTGAGAAAACTGGTTTTGCGTAAAAATTCCCGTTTTTCTGTCATTTTTTTTTTGTTTTTCTCGATTTTTTTGAAAACTGTTGGAAAATTTTTACTTTTGACCTCTATAATGCACCAAGGATATTCCCTTTTACATCAGAAACCACCTCCAAAGTTTGAAATTGAAGCATTATTTCGACTAGTTATGCTGTACACAGACACACACAAAAAAAAAACACACGCTATACATCATTGTAAAATCAATACATTCATCACTTCGTTCAGAATCTAAAAAATGTTCCTATGTGTATTAATTTATAGTAAAATAGGTTATAAGGTTCATACATTAAAAAATATCTTAAATATACTATTTACAGATAAAATATGTCCAATAAATAATAAATCTTTATTTATGTCTATCAATTAGAAAAATAGGAATAAGAATATTTATTACTCAATAGAAAACGGAAAGATACAAACAATAAATGAAGATTACAGAGATTCCACGGGAGTTGATAACGATTTTGAGATCAAATTGTTGAAACATTCCATTGCCAAAGAACATGAACTAAATAATAATGTGCCCAATAATAAATATAATGCAGTTAAAACAATATGTTCAAAAGAAAATGATTCAAGTATTGGTAAGAGTAAAACATTTTAAACTACTGTTAATTTATTTATGCCAATATCTGTATTATTTTTTTGTCGAGAGAGACAACTGACATATTATTATATGTATGCAAATTTTATTATAGCTTCACAATCCCAACACAATGAATTGCTTGAAGATCGTACACAAAAAAGTATAGCAATAGAAAAGCATGAGATTGAAAAAAGACAAAAAGCAATAAAATTACAAGAACTTGAACTTGCCATGCAAAATTTAGATTTAGAATATATGAAACAAGTGAATGATATAGCAAAACAAATAGAAGACTTAAAAAAAAATTAATAATTAACTATAAATGATTTAATGGTATCTACTTTTAATATTGTATTAACTATTTAATTTTGTTTTATTCAACATGGCAAAAATATAATTTTATTTMATTGTATTCAAATGTATAAAATAAGTTATTCTTACATTTTTTTTTTTTGTCTCAACACAAATCACCAACTGTCATTATAATAATTATTGGGCCATACTATGTATTTTTTTTTTTAAGTATTTTGTTGAATCGATGATAAATATTTTAAATTCCTTTAATAATTTTAAAGAATTTAAGAGCCTTAATGGCATAATGAATCTAATACTAGTTATTTTATTTTTTTCAATTTAAAATACCGTATAGTAATTATATTACTATTTACTATATGTTTTATCTATTTAAAGTGATATTATAACATATTTATTATTATTTATTTAATTACATTTTATACTGATAAATGGAATTCTCGTTTCTCGGACGCAACCTTGTAAGTTACAACTTTAGAGACGATCTTACTATTTAATTACATGTTTATCAATTATCTTATCATTTATTATTGAAAATAAAAAATATTATAACATTTATTACATACTATAAATATGTGTATTAATGGACTCTAATAAACATTAAATGTCCTTAAATCATTAATTAGGTACTTGCCTTTAATTTATAAAATGTCAAAAACTTACTTCTGTATCTCTAAGTTTGGATGATTATTGTCAGGAAAACTTTAAATAATAATAAAAAAAACTTACCTTTAATTACTTGTATGCAAAAAAAGGTTGTCAAGGGGATACAGCTTAGCTGGTGTAGCTAAGCTTAGCTTAATAGCAACTGTCTTGAAGGCTAATGGATGTGAAAATTTGAAGTCAATTATATAACATAATTATACATACGAAAAACAATTCTGAATTGAGTCTGCCTGTTACAGTGTCACCTTATATTATTAAGTAAGTACGTATATTTTATAATATTGTTGTTGTTGTTATTTAAATTCAATGTTATTTATTTTAATATAAGACGACATGACTACACGAGTAATGCAGTAGGTTGAATTAATTTTCTTAAAAAAACAAAGTATTTGAAAATGTCATTGTGTATACAATATATAATAATAAACATCAAAATACATTCAAACAGATACTCACAAATAATAATTTTTAAATTCCAACAAAATGACTAATTCGTTATTTTGCGTTTAAAACTAAATATCAAATTTTCTCAAAATTATATAGTAGGTACCTATTACTTTTATTTGACAACAATACGTACATACATACACTTACATATTGTACACTATATTATACTGTATCATTTATACATATATTAAATTTATCTAACTCTTTTTGTAAAAGCCGGTTAGCGTATATACATAAATAAATAAATAAATTATACATTTATACAAACATAGATAATTGTTTTATGTTTGGTTTTTGGCTATATTATCGGTGGCGCCGAACTTAATTTTTATAGATGGACCAAAGTACAAAAATTAACACCCACCCCACCCAGAGACACCTAACAAAATCGAGTATTCACAAGGGTTTTTGATATTCAGGAAAATTTATATTTTATTTCTCCTAATATGAATTATTTTCATACATCACAATCATATTCACTCCTATCCACGACCGCCCTGACCACCTACGACCCAACCACCAGCTTTCAAAGATGGAGCGGTTTATTTGAATTCGATTAGACAAGCTCAGACTGTCTGCAGAAGATCCTTTAAAAAGACGTCAACTCCATGTTTTGTTTAGGTACATTTTTTTGGAAACGTAATATTTGATTAAAACTCTTTTATTGATGTACGTTTGTGTTTTCTGTTACATCCTTATTTAGGTATTTATTATATAGGTGATGAGTGCTAGCATAAATTAGTGGGAGAGGGAAACCATCAACCTTATAAATATATTCATTATATAGGTAGGTATTATACTATAATACTTATTCGCCGAATAATCACATGAAATCTGGAATAGTTTTCTTTAACAAAATGTAACTATAATTTAAATATTCTTCAAATAATCTATATAGTATATAATATCAAAACAACTTAGGAGTGATTTTTCCTCCAACTGTCCATAGTTAAATAATAATTTCTATTAATTTGCTACGGATATTAATTTTGTGCGTAAGTATTAAACATTTTATATTGCGTCTATAGGTATTCGTATTATATTAGGTATATAGTATGCCCTTAAGTTGAGTTCACATCGATTGATTGTATAATATTATGATTTATAAATAATTAGTCTTACAGTGAAGACTTTAATGTATATATTGAACTTTCCATTATGCGAAAGGGTTATCGTGCTCGGTGGGAGAGAGGCGTGGAGTGGATCCTTCATTATACCGGAACTGAGATTGCTGGTTAATCGGAGCAATACTAACTTTAAAGATTAATGGATCTCCTTGTATAATTGAGTTTAATATGTCTACAAAAACTAACGTGAAACACAGCAGATTATATTTTGTGGTTATATAATATAAGTAAATACCTACAACTGAGCGGGTTTCATTTATTAATTTCCTCGTCATCGTCGGGCGACGTCGGCAAATAATCATGCGTATAAGTATCGTCTGAGGAATCGTCTAATTTTAAGTCTATTACAGGTACATTGAATCTGTTATCGTGTACGGGGAACGACACGAAAGATCATACGTAAAACGTTCACTAACAAAAATATTATTAATTTGCCATCATTGTAACAACAACACGATAATAAAGTCAAAAGTTCTATAAAGGTATAATATACMTATAATATAATATAATATATTTTTATTTTTACAAAATGTCAGCATCTACCAAATCAGATAATGCCTGACAACATTCACCTTTAAAATTGACATTCGCCAGAAATTTTGTGAAAAAAAAATCAAAATATCTTATGTTATAGTTGTGGTTAATTTTTTTGAAAGATATTGATTTGCGAACATATGGAATAAAGATTGAAGGGAAATATACAAATTTTTTGTCGTTCGAATGGATCAACCTAATGATTCGATGATACTTTCTAAAACTTCTTTACATATTTTTCTATTTCTATTTGAGATCGGTCAGTCTACTTTTTCAATTTCACCCACAATAACGAATATAAATTTAGTTTGAATAATTTGAGATTTAGCATTTCGGAATTTTCAAACGTTAATTATTCGGAACTTAAATTAGAAATATTGAAATGTGGACTGATCTATCTCAAGTAGATGTTAAAACGAATTCATATCAGTTTTCTGAAATATTATCGCATATAGTAGGTATTATATCATATGCAAATGAGCATCAGTTATTTACCATGCATTTACATGCACTAATGATTACTTAAAAGGTCCCACATGCACGCAATTTGAAAATTGCCTATTTCGAACTCCTTAAAAACGAAACACCGCCGATCCTCTTTACATAAACAAACCACCAGGCCTTATACTACTAGACAAATGATGAGTGTATTGAAAGTGACAAAAGTTAGAGGGCGCTTTTCGGTTACTGAGTGGGGTCATAAGGTAATATATATATTATATATACATATAAGATATAAAGAGTATCGTATTTTGTTGTCAACACACACTTCATCATTGTGAAATGTTTACCACCTCCCGTAATGATGTCATTATACGTACACATAAACACATCACTTGTCGGGTAGTATAAGGTCTATGAAAAAAATCAAAATGTACTCCGTTCACACAATCCACTCTAAAACACTCCGGTGAGCTGGAATAAGGTATTGAAACTCTGGTCACAGAATAATGGCTAATCTGTCAGGATATTCTTATTATTTTAATTTTTGTAGCAATACTGCTGTCATTCGGTTTTTTTTCATCATAAATTAATAAAAATGCATAGAATAAATTTGACTGCAATACACTTTTATGTATTAATAATGAAACAACTACAATATCCAATAATTGATAAGTATGATAAGTATAATAGACTTTATTATAGGCAGGTATATTAAATCAAATAAACATAGAACACTATTATTGATTATATTTTGGAATTTAAAATTTTTGAAAAATTATGACTTAGAGAAAAAAATTTGGATAGTTTCATTATTCAGATTTATGATGCTATGTTTGATTTGT